ATACTCTTACCCTAACGTTAACTTTAACCCTAACTCAGGCCGATGTTGTGTCTATAAGTCACGTGAAATGTTGTGCCCGTAACTTTCCGCTAAAATTTGGGATATGAAAAAGCTAACAAGGTCCTAATAACAATTATATTGCTCAACGTTACGAGGTGAAACACATTCGTCTCTTGTCGCTCAGATTGTACCTTTAACTCGAACTGTTTGTACAAAGGCCGGTTTTTTTCGTAACGTTAAAAGGATTGTGTAGGAGTTATTGAAAATGATTCCTGTATCATATCATATCATAAATCGTCCTTCATCGTGGAGGCTGCATAAATTGGATGCGTTAAAACCACGAAATGAAAAGCAGCTACCCAGAAATTTAATTTTATAAAGTAAATGTACTGGATTATGCGTATAGCATTATACTTTAGAGCGATAGGCGGCGTAACTTTGTGAAGTTATCATTATATGCTATACTCGGATAATTTTTTCCTGCTGCGCAGTTGTAGTTCGTGTAAATCTGTGAACTCATGTGATAATTCGTATAACGATAAATAAAGTGCATTTGAGTATTCTACGTTATACACTTTTTGAACAGTTGAATTTAGTGGGATTCAATAATGTCTGTAAATTCGACGGAAGTCAACCTAGCAAATGATAAGAAGTCATCACAGTTGCTGTTTTTTGACACTTTGACAGCGAATAAACTCTCCAATAATGACGAGTTGCCTACAGAGTCAGTGGAGTGTATAAGATTTACCCAGCGTGTTATATTATCGGAAATAAGGATAGTACCAAAAAACACATGTCCCTTCAAGGGTAGTCGTAAGGGTGATTATATCGGGTGAGTTTGTATAAATGAAAGCTATGCCGAATCTTGTTTAACTATTGTTATATTGATCTATATGCACCCATAGTCAAACTTCTCCCAATAAATTCGATCTCCACCTTCTTATCCATAAAGCTCCCACTATCGATTCTGCGAAACCTGAAAAACGCGCACCGTTGCCTCTGCATCCATTGACAATTTCTTTTGACGAAAAAAAAAAGGGTTCTTGAGCTATGATGTTACTTTATTACCAGAAGTATGCATTGGTCGTCCTATAAAGTACCATGTTCTGTTCCTCCGCAGCATAATTTAACATTATTTAATCTAGGCAACTACTCGGTTTATAATTATTCGGGGAAATTACCACGCTGTAACACTGTGCATTTATGGTAGGGTTATTGAAATGAACAGAACTCAGATCGCAAAAAAATAAGGAATCGATAGGAGCTTCAACATTTAACGAACCACAAAACAATAAAAAGGAGCACGGAGATGGTATTATCAACAATGGAACAGACATTTCTCTTGAAAAGCAAAGCATGCATATTTCCGTACTTCCTTCAACGATCGCAAATAATAACAATAAAGAAAAGTTCGATAATGAAGCATCTGGTAGCGGTAAGATAGTAAATAAAGAAAATGAAACTATTATAGATGATGCCAGTTCGAATAAGACATCTATAGGTCACAATATCACAATGGATGGTGTTCAAAAAGAACGGACTATACCATTCATAGACCCAACTTTATCGGCTAATGAGAAAGCATCTATCGAGCATCAATTTAGCACGCCAATGGATGTAGATACTTTTTACTTGGACGTCGGAATAAGAGATATCTCCGATGTTGAGCGAGTAGGAATATTATTAAGAAAAGATCGTTCAGATTCTTTCAGAATTTTAAATCCACAAACCCTAGCAAATTGTGTGGGACTTGATTTAAGTGATAAAGATCTACTTGCGGTAATATATATACTTCTGATATTTGGGTGAATTTATTAACTCGCTAATGCAAAACATTTTTTTGATAGTTTCATTCATCACCCGATGAAACAATTCTGTCATCTACATTTCGTACATTTTCTGAAATCGAATTTAAAAAGGCATGGGATGACTTTGTTGATCGTATTCAAAATGTCGATTCATTGATTTCTGCTTTGCTAAACCCTAACATCGAGGGAATAGTTGTTACTAATGCATTTGAATTAGAGCGCATTGTAAATTTATTGGCGGAAGTATTTCATCAAATATCTGATGTAATCATAGAAGGTTGTCTTTGGGCAAGGTTTCAAAGTGTTCGATATGATGGTGAGAAAACAAATTACTTCAATATAACGTTCTTATTCACTGTTGTGACTAATAGATAATCTTTGTCTTGCAGATAAATTGGATATATTATATAAATCTATTATATTCGCTCTCGATATTTCAGAGGGAAAGGTGAACCATCGTTGGTTATTTTTGTTTTGATATAGAAAAAAAATAATAATATGATGTCACGCCAGGCGTAATGTTGATTGCTGGCGATTATCCATTCTACCAGTTCTAATTAATGTGCCGCAATCTGACAGTCTTCTGTAAAATTATTTGAAAGTGGCCTTGCCTTATTCTGCAAATTATGTAAATGTGGTGAAGATTTCATAAACCTATCGTTGGTTAGTATAAAGAAATAATTTACAACTGTGCAAATCATTTGTAAAAATCTAATTCTACTTTCTCACAGGTTCAGTCCGTCCTGAAACTCGTGGTTCCGCTTTTAATTGAACAACACGTATCTTCTATTCTACAGACGAGAGTACTTCGAGGTTTATTAGAATGCATGGAAGAAACAAGAGTTGTAGAAAGCCTTCTTGGGTGTTGTGATAAAAATCGCGGTTATGATACATTATACAAAACTTATATCTTACCAATGC